AGGCCGCACCTGGATTCCGGAGGGAGACAATATTTTTTGTCTCCGGATGTACCTTTGCAGTACTTTGTTACCCAGCAATATCTAGTACACAGGGCAGGTGGTATTGTGTGTGAGTGTGTGTGTGCGCGCGCGTGTGCGGGCGCAGGGTCATTTCCTTGATTTCTGAGTTCAGCTGTGAGAGAGAAAAATCAGAATCTCCAAACAACCTTGACCATGGAAGTCATCTGTGATCTTGGGCCCCAAGTGTTTGACGTTTTCTTTTTTGTTTTGTTTTAACGGCTTTTTAGGTCCCATTGCCACAGTCGGCACCAGCAGCGCCAGGTCAGGGGATACTGTGCACCCCCAACGGTTCTGCTCCCCCTGCTCTGACTCCCACCCTCCCCCTGTGCACGGCACTCACCATTCTGTGCTGTCACTGTCCTAACAGGCCGTTAGCTCCTCGCGGGCACGGACCCCTCCTTATTTGTCTCTGTACCCGCCATGCCAGACACCGGCATACACAGAAGGAGCTCAGCAAATGTACGTGTGTGCTCTTACACAAGTTTGTGCCTTACACCTTTCTCCAGATCCATGCTGTCCTAGTTGGCTCCTCGGTGACTAAGCTTGTATCTCTAGTAACCCCGACCGCTGCCTTTAAAACAATTTCGCAATTCCACTTGCCTTAAGGAAACCAACCGCTAGTTTATCTCCACTGTATCAACACCAAAAAAACCCACAACACCCACTCCCATTCGGTGGCAGGAGAAAAGCCTCAGTAAATATGGATCCATAATTAACAAGCATCTGGAAACCTGCCACCTGCCCTGTGCAGCTTGTCCTTGGCATTGGCAGGATGTATCTCAGCACTAAGTATATGCCAAGAAGCCAGTTTCTGCAGGAAAAGCTGCACATGGAGAAGCATGTGTTACAAAGTTGAACAAGTGAAGGGGGTGAATCTTGGGGGAAGATTGGAAGATGAGGGGGGAAAAATCTGAGTGTGCAAATCTGAGACCATAAGGAGTGTTTGAAGCCATCGGCTGATATCTTGGAGGAGATCCCAGGGTAAACAAAACCTACCGGAGTTTGGAGAGTGTAACGTTCACCTAGATTTCCCTGAAATCCTTCGGGCTGATACCGACAAGCCCTTTGAAGACAGCCAAGGCTCTGGGACACCTGATTCCCCAGGGCAGGCGCAGGGCGGGGCTGCCATCGAGGCTGAGTCAACAGGGCCCTCAGGTAGGATGGAAGGTTGGGAACAAGGGCCAGACTTTGGAATCAGGGACTCAAATGTCATCTTGAAATCAGAAGGTGGTTAGGTTCTTTGAATTCAACAAAAGGAAAATTTATCCAACAAGTACTGTTCAAGTGCCAAGGCCTGTTCAATGAGACAAAGATACTCACTAAACAAACCAGACAGGAGACTTCCGCCGGTGGGGAAGACAGACGTTTGTACAGGAATAACAATCCAACGCGACATCCGCGTCACAGGCAACGCACGAGTCCGGGTCAGCGTTCCGGTTCACAGGTTAGGGGAGCCCCCCAGGGAAGGGACCTTTCGGTGTAGACCTGAAGGATGGACTAGTCGTGCAAAGCGGAAAAGCAGAGAAGGAACTACGCAAAGGGACCAGCCCAGTTCAAGCCTGAGACCCCGAAAGTGCTGGCAGACTGGCTGAGAGACTTGCAGGAAGTCGGATGAAAGGCACTGGGATTATTCACACTGGAAGAGGAAAGGCTGAGTTGAGTGAAAGTTTTCAGTTACAGTAAGTTATTTATACAGAGGGCAGTGACCTCCTCCGGAGGAGGTTTGAGAGGAAAGAGGCTCGAGGGTTCTGCCAGAGGCCAGACAATGTGTAAGGGCCCGAGGGCATAAAAGCACTGTCCTCGGGGAGTGGCAGTGGTGGCCAAGTAGCTCCTCTCCTGTGTCGGATGGGGATCTGGTCGTCCCAAGGGCTATGCTGGGTAAGAAACAACTGGTCGGTGAACTGCCTCGAAGAAGGGCGAGTCACTTACCTGCGGGGCCTTTGTTTTGCCAGTGCCATGTGCCTCGGTGCCAGCTGGGACCAGGCCTGCTGAGTTTGGGATGGCAGGGGAGTGACTGGGCAGCTGCTCTCGCTCGTTTCCCTCCCCCCGTGCTCCTAACCCAACGTTAATACTCCAATATTTTCATATTACATCGCTTTGAAGGGGCGCCGAATTGTCAGCCTTCCCAGAGAGCTCACGAGTCTCAGTTTAGCTGTGCCCCTAAGAAAGGAAAGGGACCTTGACCATTCCTTCTCCGTGCCTTTACTTTCCCTGCCTCTGACACAGTCCCAGGGACCGAATCACAGCAGAGGCATGACCCTCTCAGAAGGCCCCGCCTGCAGGGTGGGCTGCGGGCCCAGCTGAGGCCCACGTGGGCGCCGAAGGGGGTTACGCAGGCTGGTGAGGCAAAGAGCAGGAGCAATTCCTAGGCATTGGTGACACTGCGTCTCCTGGGGGGGGACCACAGGTTACAATCCTGGAATTTAAGACTCGGGGGAAGCCTCCATGTTGTCTCTCTTCCCCCTCTTGGTGTTTATTTCTTCAGAACATTTCTTCTCTGTCTGCTGCATCCCCACCAGCTTGTTTGACTTTCCCGGCTTCTTGCTCTGGTGGGATCCTCTGCGATTTCCACTGTACTGCCAGGGATGTGTGGTGGGCCCCCCTCATGTTTACACATTTAATGCATTTTGAATGTGTCCCTAGCTTCGAGGTCTGCAGGCACATGAATAAAACAAACTGTTCAAGGAAAAGCACAGCAGTGGTTTTTGGAGGAAGCCGCCCACAGAAGGGACAGAAGCACATCACCAAGTGAAATCGCCAGTCACCAGGAGACACCACCCAGCACACACTGACCGCGGGGTGCCTGCCCCGAGGGAGTTTCCGTATCTCCACACCAGTGCGGCCAAGGCACAGCCCTGCGCTGCTGATAATAAATCATTTAGTGAAAACCTCACGCTTCAATTTCTTCCTTTCCTTCCAGGTCAGGAAGAGTTCTTAGCTTAAATTTAAGAGCAATTTCGATTCATTGTGTGCATTTTTATGATTACCAATGACAACAGATTTCCCTTCACTGGGGTGATAAAACAGCACCCTTTAAAATTACATATTCTAATAAAGAATGCCAATTTAAGGGACAGCACCACGTTAAGACTCTCGGCAGTGAGAAGGCCTATGTGAACCAGAGAGATCTGGGTGGGACCCTGAGGAGCTGTGGGGTCGCTGGGGCTGGCTGTCTAGGGAGCATGACCAGCTTTTTGGGAGAAAGAAGGACCGGTGGACCCCAGTGACAGAATACATGCATGTCCCACTGAGAGGGGCCCTCTCAGCGGCCTGGAGCCTTGGCTGTGGGCCCACATATTTCCATCACCTGTAGCATTAAACACAAACACTTGCATTCAAGCACTGGCTTAAGAACCAAGAAAACCCAGCTGCCTTGCTGTGAAGCCCAAGTAACATTTCCATACCACACCATACAGGTGCTTCCCTGACACAATCAGAGTGTCCTCTAATGAAAGGCTTTAACTTTAAAAATAGTTTATGCAGAAAGAACTCACTAGTCTCACGGGTGTAAAAAATAAAAGGCAACAATTAAGGTAACTAAATTCCTTTGCGGATTTTTAGGCTGCATTCGCTCTGACTCGCAAGGCCCTTCCACCCCCCTCTGCCCCGTCCTGGGCCCGCCTGTCCGCTGAAATCCCTGGTAGGTGAGAGCTATGCACCCTCCCTCCTTGCTGCCACAGCTGCCCTGACCTCGCCTCCAGTGCACAGGTGCAGTGTGAATTCAAATGAACCGGGCTCAATGGCAGAGAGGGCAAATCCCAGCTTTAATTTTTTTTTTTTAAAATATATCGTTATTGACTTCAGAGAGAGGACAGGAGAGGGAGAGAAAAACATCAATGATGAGAGTCACTGATCGGCTGCCTCTTGCACGCCCCCTGCTGGGGATGGAGCCCGCAACCCAGACATGTGCCCTGGCTGGGAATCGAACCACAATTTCCTAGATCCTAGGTTGATGCTCAACCGCCGAGCCACGCCCGGTTGGGCCCAGCTTTATTCAATGTAAATAAAAGCACAGTAAGTCCTGTTTACCTGAGGAGGACTTTGTCCTGCTCTGCAAGGGGCAGGTGCCTACTTACTGGCTTGCCTGCCTGCTAGCTGCCTCCTCAGTGCCCAGGCTCCACCTTGAGGCCCACGGAGGGGAGGGAGGGAGGGAGGGAGGACAGGGCGGAAATGAGAGAATGTGTGCGTGAGAGTGTATGTGAAATCATGAGCCCTTGAAGTACAAATCCTGGGAACATCTATGCTTCAGTAATGGGATTCCTGTGAAGATTTCCAGAAAAGGTGACATGTTATCCATCTACCATCTTTGAGTCTCCAGTGAGGACTCAGCTGGGCACAGTGGGATTTGAAAACCAGTCTGGGAAGTGGACCACTTCAGTCTTCTCTTAAAGGGGCATAAAAGGCTTATGGTGGCCATCTCTGGGTGGGTGGCTTATGAAGTATTTAATTTTCTTTTATAATTTTATGTATTTTTAAAAACGCCTACAGAGATATTATTATCTCTATTGTTAGAAGAATGACAGAGGTTATTAAATGAAATACCCTAAGCTCAATGATTGATTACTTGGGTGAAAGAGTTTGAGAATGAAATCATCTCTCCTGAGGATCACAAAGCTCTGAGGCCAGGCCCAGGGCAGCCTGAGTCACCAGTCTCCTCCTCTACTTTGTGCCACCTGGTGGGTGGCTCCCATGGCAACAGAGCAAAGGTGAAAGAGATGTGGCAGGTACCTCAACACCGACTGAAATATACCTGCTCTCAGAGACTGGTGAGGGTGGTCACGGGGTGAGCGGGTGAGCAGGCTGCTCTTTCAACAGCCTGAAAATGGAGCAGTCTGCACAAGCAATGGCGCTTCTCTTGGAAAAAAGAGATTTTAAAGTTTAAGAGGTGATTGGGAAAGAATAAAAATGGGGCAACACATTTTAAAAATTGCAATAAAAACTACATAACTTAAAATTTATCATTTTAACCATTTTAAAGTGTACAATCCAGAGTCTTAAGTACATTCAGGATGTTGTGCAACCATTGCTTCTATCTAGTTCCAGAAACTTTTCATGACACAAATGGAAACCCCACACTCATGGCTGACACATTCTGAAAGATAAATTTAATTTTTTGTTGCCCCATATGTGGAACAATTGTGACGTTACAAAGAAAAACAATTAAATAAACAAAACCCTTCTTTAAAAAAACAAATTCAGAAAGAAATAACATTAATACTGCTAATGACAACATATGAATCTGTTCAGTCTGGTACAGAAAATCTAATGAGATGCATTCTATTATGGATAAAATCTCAGATAAAAGTGTTACAGAAAATCAATCTTTAAAACTCCTTTTAAATACCGAGTGCCAAACATGCATGCTGTACACAGCAATCAAGGAGCCAAAATCTGGGCCAGCTGCTGGGAGGACTGCAGGAGGAGCAAAGAGGCTCACCTAGTGATGCCTCCAACCTTACAGTCTTAATAGCTACCTACAGTGCTGGAATTAGGAGGATCCAGAAGGAACATGTGGGCTCAGTTAGTTCATAAATCTGCCACAGGATTGGTAGTGAGAAGTAACGGCATTTCGGCCGGCTGTCTGCCAACCCAGGAGACGGTATAGGTTGGTAATAGGCATCATTAGTTCCAGCACCATTTCCTTCCAATCATCCTATTTAATACAATCCAAGTTAGTAGCGACCAGAAAATACAGCTACTGAATTGAAGGATGGCTATGCCAGCACCTATTCATATTACTTGGTGGGGTTGGTTTCTAGTGTCCTATGAAGAACAGATAGAACTGAGGTTACTGGCAAAAGAAGAGTCCCTTTGGTAGGCATATTCCGTCCCCCCTCCCAGGACATTATAACTGTTACTATGGTGTGTCTGTCCTATGACTGTGCTCCTACCCCAGGAGGGCAGCTTGAGAACAGAAAAGCAATTGTTGGAAGGTATTTATATTATCCCTGTATTCAGCTCATTGGACTACGACCTTTCATGGTGTGAGACTTTCTCAAGTGCTCATTTGTCCATTCATTCATTTATTTTTTAAAAAGGGTATTGAGTGCCTTCTATGTACCAGGTACTCAGGCACTGGTGATAGCAATTAATGAAACAGTGGCTAATGCAAAAAAGAACACAGCTTTCGCACACATTTCTCTGAGTCTTGTTACTCTTTGGGGCTAATCTGGACCGATCCATGTCAGTGGGACATTCGTGGGACTGATAAAGGGCTGGCAGGTCACACTGTGCATCCTCTGTCCCCCACCCCAGAACCTCAATAAAAGCAGTAAAGCTGGGAGAACAAGAGAAAAGTGGATGTGCCCTCCTGATTTTACCAAGGCCCAGTGTCCCGGATGCTGGCCATTTCCTTTTTCAGACTCTCCACCTCCATCATCTCAGAACAACAGTACCTTTCCTGGGGCTTTTCCTCACTGCTGGGAAGAGCCATGCAACTCTTAGTATGTCATGAGCCAAAGCCACAAGCATGATAATAAACTCCATGTAACTTGGAAAATCCTCACCAGACAGATACACAGACCCAAGCCTCGCCTGCCCAGGCCTCTTCCTGTCTACCATGAGGGTGCTCACAGAGCCAGGCCGCCCGCCTTCTCTGGGCAGGGCCCTCACTTGGGTGTTGGGGGCAAAAGGAAGGCAGGGCTCAGTGCTCCAAAACCCAGTGGTGCTCAGCGTGAAGCAGAGCCGCCTTCCCAGGCACAGGACGCCTGAGTCAAAAGGAAGGGGAGGGAAAAAGCCACAGGGGAGCTGGGGGTAGCAGGAAGTCTAGACAAAATGAGCAATGGCTGGGGGAAAACTTGGGGATAAAAACACAGTTCTTTATTGTAAAAACCAGAACCAAGGAGTAGGCATACTGCCATAGTGACCTTAGCAGTGAAATGGGCCTTATGCTCCATGACGGGATGAGTGATGAGGTGAGCGAGTGAGGGGTGACCACGCGGGTACTCACGCGGAATGCCTGGACATGATCCCTCACAGACAGGGAGATCCCCTGGCCAACAGGACCATTAACAATTGTCTGCGCCCTTCATTTGTTATAAGAAATGTGAGTCACTCCAATAAAAGCTGGCTATTGGCAGAGGGAAACCTAACATCTGACTTGTGAGGCAAAAGGAGCCAGCTGCTCCGGCCTCCAGGACTCAGTAACTTCCTATTTCAAATCAAGCTCCCAGCTGTCCCACAGCTCCGGAAAAAGGGGATGAACCCAATCACCCTCTCCTCCAGACGCACGCCCCGGCCAGCAGCGGGAGGGTTCCAGATTTTATCAGCTTCTTAAATGCACGAGGGGTTGAAATGAGACATGTCGATGTGGTTTACGGGCAAGAGAAGGGCCAGGTGAACCCAGGTTGGGAGATCAAATGAGATGAGAGTCACACGAGTCAAGAGCTGAAGTCCAACTTGCAACAGGAAGGTTTTCTAGCCCCCACCCCAAGGCTGTCCCAAATCCTACATCCAAGGGCCCCAAACCCCAGTGCCCTTGGGGTCACAGCGGGGGTCCTGGTCCGGGTAGTACACGGGCACCGAGTGTTTGTGATAGAACTGCAGCCGGGAAAGGAGCTGCTTGACCACATGGGGATACACTCCGGATAGGTCATGTCTTTCTTCTGGGTCTCGATCAATATCGAAGAGCCAGAGGGTCTTGGTCGGTGGATCCGGTGAGGGTATCTCAGAAACATTGTATTGAGACGGTGGAGGGAACCAGTGACCACAGCCTGGCAAAGAAATACAACAGTTTACTGAAGAGAGACATGGTAGGCAAGTTCTAATTTCGAGGAGGGAACTTGGGGGACAGCGCTGAGCTGAGCTGTGGGGATGGACACATGAAAAAGACGGGACCCTTGATGCTGTGTCTAGATCTAGGACTTTGGCTTCTGGTGCTTTAATGAGACATGTCTCTCTACTTCACAACTAGGGGCATCCAGAAATATGAATCCATGTATGTGTATGAGGGGGAGGGCGGATTTTTATTTGTGTCATGACTTGGCATTTGGTGGTCATGGGCCAGGGATGCTAGAATGTCTTACAACACATGGTACCGTCCCAAACAATGAAGAACTGTCTTGACACAATCGCCAAGAATGTCCTCATTATAAACACTGCTTAACTGCATCCCAACCTTAACCAACATGCCACATATTTAAAAAGTATTTAGCAGATGTCACTTGTTGAGAATGTGCTCAGAAAGCAGCCTCCTCCCCCAGCTACACCGCTGGTTGGGGATGTAGCTTTCAGAGGTTCTCTTTGCTGTGCTTGAGAACCACATATATCTGAAACCTTTATTTTCCATGAAGTATTAGAGTGGCATTTCTTCCTTTTACTCCTCCTACAGTTAATTCTTCATTTTTCAGGGTGGGGAAGAGTCGAGATTAGTAGATCCCACCACTCCTCCCCCCTCCTCATTCAGCAGCCCCAGAGTTACGTGTTACAAAAGGCAGTTGCTCCATTTGGGGAAGTGCTGAGCATTCTACCTGGGTAGCCCGTGAGGAGTTTCCAGTTTTTGTATCGAATTGCAGCATGGACAGATGTGTTGAAGGCTGAATATTCTGGAAAAGAAGAGTCACCCTTTGCTGGAGCCGTGCTGTTCCCAAGACCTGGGAAGAAAGAGTTTGGGAGAATTAGATCACTGCTATCGGAATGTGTCATTATAAATCATCAACATTTTATTTCCTTCTTGCAGAACAGTAGCTTTTATTCAACACTGGAGTGTAAATGTGTATCCTGCCACAGAAATGACTCTCCTATTAAGTATAAACAGAGCCAAAGTTACATTAAACGTCAGTCATAAACCACCACAAATATAAAGGAAATCCCAGAGAGATTAGAATACTAATTCATCCTTAAAATCACTGAGTCTGCCAACATACAGCTGGCCATGTGCAGAACAGTGTTCTGTTACAGCACGCTGGGCTGTTTGTGTGTGTTTTGCTTTTGCTGTTAAATAATTGGATAAAATAAATACATTTTCTATGTAAACTTATACCTATGGAGATAATATAATACACCATAAAATGTACATTTTAATGGAGTCTATCTCAAGCTATGAGAGGTCAAGCATGCTGTGGTAAGTAGTACATATATTCATTTTTTAACCACAGGTATGAAATCTAAAAGTAATGAGCAGTGCTCAGTTAACCATTCAGACAGAATAATTATGCATATAGGAATAAATCTGGTATACAAATTATTGGCTGGTATCATGGATTACAATAATTTATCATCTTGAGGTCTTATATTAATTGATCAATCAGGTTTTTGAGGAGAGCAAAAACCTGATTGACCAAACCTGCCTCCTCTTCCCCTTTTGAGTTTAGAACCAATTGAGAGATAGACGCTGACAGATGAAGCTAAAAATATTGCTTCTGTTACTGATAAACTTGATTGGAGAGAACACAGTTTCAGATCTGTGACAGGGAGGCCTTGCTAATAACTGACCCCTGCCTTAGAGAGACTAAGCCACCAGCACTGGCCTTGCTGGACACCCGCCAGGCCCCCTTGGAACGCACAGCTCAGAGCAGACCAGGGTGCTTCCAGGTACCCAGCGGACACGCTGGCTCCAAAATTCGACAGACAAAACGGTCTGAATTAAGCAAGCGTAGCTCCTTCTTTTGGATTACTCCCTCCTTCGCCTGCTTATGGGAGAAGCAGGGTCGAGAGAGACCTGAGTTCTGGTGGAAGACCCGGAGGGCAAGGTATGGAGGTCCCTACCTCATGCCTACCTATGTTTAAAAGCCTCAACTTAGGGTCTAACTGTAGAATATTTAGTCTGTTTTAAGTCCGCATTTATCTGTTAACTTTCCAACATGGTCACAGCAGTCACCTTCGGTGCACTTCCAGAGGCAGCCAGACCGCTGCCCAGTGACGAAGGGCGTGGTCTGGGATCTGCCCGTGAAGCGCACCCTGGGCCTGCGCTGGGCGCTGCCACCATCCTGGCACACAGGACTTGGAGAGCACCCCCCCCCCCCC